CCCAGACACAGGGAAATGTGCAGTTCAGTGCACTCTAAAATCACCCAAGAGGGTCTGGAACTTCAGATAAGAAGGCTGTGCTTGCTTTTCTTGGAAATGTCATGGATACACAGTGAACAGTCAATAAATACAATAGGAGTGAAGCGCACCCTTCCCTGGAATGGAACCTCCCCTTCCACACCCCATCCCCTGGCATCAAGCATACCGAATTCTGCCTCCTCCTGGACACGCTGACTGTAGATTGTAGATTATTCTCACTGCATCCAGGTCTTTGTTGAACATTTGGATGAGCACCAGGTATTTATCAGGTACATCCTGTGCTACTGGTGGTCTTTCAAGGAGCTTTCCTGCTATGTCTATGAGCTGCAGAGGAGGCGGAGAAAGAACAGGAGAAAGTCACAGATTCAACCTTTCTGTGGTTACATAAATCTTATTCTCTGGCTTTTCTTTCACATGCCTACCAAAGTAAGAGAGTCAGGAAATTGTTACTGTGCAACTGGATCAATAATCATTAATTGGTGGGTATTCATAGTCCGCCCCCCTGTCCTTTGCTTCTAAAGAAGGACTCCTATCTGTTGAATTACCTACCAGACCCTCTTGTGTTGTAAGAATCTGGATAAAGGATAAAACAAAGAGAAAACTAGAAATGTCAGAAAGGTTAAGCTGATCTACATAAAATATGACCGAAAATAGAGCAAGAGGGTAAAAATGGATATGGAAAAAAAAAAATGCTAAGTGGGCTGGATGTTGGGGAGAATTTAGAAGGCTAAAGTCTGAGAGTGAGAGCAAGAAAAACTTTCAGAGAGAACCAATTCTAACAAACATCTGACAAATTTCTAAGAACTAACAAATGCTTGGAGAGAGGAGCCCCAAGAGTCTTCCTATGCAAGTTATGAAGAGCAGGTAGCAGGTATTTATTAAAGGAGACACATACACACACACACACACTCAACACCCTCAGTGGCTAATGAACCTGGCAATTTGGGGCCCCAGTATTCTAGAAGAGCATAGGGACACCCAAACTGAGTTTAAGCTTGTTCTTCAATTGTCCCCCATTCATCCACTTTATGTTTTAGATATTTTCAATGACTTGAAACTTACTTCTCAAGGAAGTCTATTCCATCTTTGAGCAGTTTTGACAAAAATCTCTTTCCCCTGTTGAGCCAGAATCTGCTCATTGTAACTTACACTGATTAGTTCTGGTTCTAATCCTTAAGGCTTTACACAATAGGTCTCCTCATAGTCCAGAGAAGACTTGTCATGTTCTACTACATCTTCATGCCTCATGCCTCAGAATTCTCAGTTATGCAGCTATTTATCTGCTCATCATCCTAAACCTTCCCCTCCATGTGCTTATACCATCTGATCTGGGCATTATAGGGCAAGGACACAGGTCTTCTTAGTCTAGTTACTTGTACTTGAACCCTATAAGCATTTACATGGCAGGTGGTTTGTTCCAGCTTGAACCAACCTGACAGCAGTGATTAAGTAGCCACTTGTCCTGCACAGCCACAGTTTCAGGACAGTGACCATTAGACTTCTTCACTTCTAATGGGTACCCTACTGATAAGGCCCAAAGAGTCCATTCCAAAAGAGCCCATTCCAAAAATATTTTTCTTTTGAAAAATATTTCTTCCTCATGTTTTCAGAAATGCATTTGTAATCAACCTGAGAAACCCAGTTCCGCATACTCCCTGGCCGCAGGACACCCACGATGAACTATCAGAAGAATTAATATCTGATATTAATTAATTAATACCAGGAACAATACAGTTGGAAAAGCATCCTTACTCTCCTCGGATGAGGGTGGGGGAAGAATAGGGCACAGGGTCCATGTGACTGCACAAACCTTAAAGGCATGCTCCAAACTGGGCACATCATCAAAGGCTTGAATAAAGATAGTCCCCAGTCTTTGGTCGAGATCTTCTACTCTCTGGTTAAATTCAGAAACATCATTTTCAAATTCCTAAAGAGACAGGATATGGACATAAAGAAAACATGATTTTCTAAAGGCCAATCCCACTATGCTCTTTACTATCAACCTTTGTATTTCAGTCAATAATACCAAGGATTTATTTTAATTTTCTAAAATTCTCCTTGGTGTGACTTAGTTGTTATCCCTGTAGGTCATCAGTTACCCTATGATTGCAGCATTTGTGTCCCCAGATACTCTAGACAAAAGGACAAAGGGAGTCAAGTGTGAGGCCAGCACCCTGTCACCTCCCTTTCTGTGTCACCTGTCCCCTCCTGAAGCCCCTTCTCTGTCACCCACACAGCCCCAGCTTGTGCCACTGTGAGGGCTGCCTCAGCACAACAGCCCCAGCCACAAGGTTATTCCATCCTAACCATCTGCTTTCTTTCCTCCCTTGAGTCAAAATCCTATTTTTTCACTGTAAACAAACTCATCTGGGCATGAGGAACAAAGTTACTAAACTAATACACACCATTTCTTCTAAGTGCATCTGAATTGGTTGAGACAGCAGCTAGTCATTGTTCCTGAGGTTGCCAAAGTTAGCAAATAAAAATACAGGCCACACAGCTGTATTTAAATTTCAGATCACCGAATACCGTTTGTAGTACGAGCATGCCCCAATTACTGCATTTCATCTGGCAACCTAAAGGCTGTTCTCTTTCTTAGAATGTAGCAATTTTCAGAGAAACTTTGTTAACTCAAACCTCTAATTTGTGGAATGATTATTATTGGCTATTAATGCTTTATAACAGGAATGCATACTCTGATGAAAAGAAAAAGAAAAATTAAAAACATAGTATTTTCCTACTTCCCTAGCCCAGCCACATGAACATTGTAGTATGTTTCCCTATGCCCAGAATTTTGTTTTGTTTTGTTTTACCATACTGTTGGGAAACACATGGAATATACTCTACTTTGTAGTCCACCTTTTTTTTCCTTCCTTCTTTAGATTAATGGAATTTTTAGGAAGTGGTGACTATGGGGTTTGGCCAACTAAAATCTCCTGCTGTCTGAAGGTGCTCCAAGCCTCCAGTTTCCTTCTTCCCTCAAGTGCTCTTAAAATTCCTTCTCCAGTATCCCAGCCACTCCCTCCTCAGGGAACTCTGTCTGCTGCTCAGTACAGGCCCTTTCGCATCTTTGTCTCTACTTCGGACTTGGACTCACAGGTCTGAGAGTCCCTGGGCTGCAGGTAAGATGTGAATTCTCTGGCCTTCCTGAGGGCTTACTCTCTTGGAAGCCAGGGTTAGATCAGAAAAACAGATAAGAAACAACTGTATCACTTATGCCTCCCCACTCCATGAATAAAACTCTGCCCAGGGATGCCTTGCCTTTGTGTAGCAGTCACTGCTGGAAGCTTAAAGCTTTGAAAGCAGCAGAGCGACCTGCAGCCCGGGGCCTCTGAGATCACCCTATATTCATCTCAGCATCCCTGAAACCTTGGAATAGTCAAGAGCTGGAAGGGCCCTCCTTGATCTTTCTCCCGACACAAAGAATAATTAGGAGCGGTCTCTCCTGATCAAACCATGGACTCCAGAGCCAAAGGAAATGCACAGGAAAAATGCAAGGGAATACCCAGACTCTACAGGCTGGAGGCATCTGAGAGAGAAAAGCTTGCAGGTGGGCCCTTCCCAGTCCTACCGTGCTTTGGGGGTCCAAGCAGTCATAAGAAGATTCTGAGAAGACCCTGTACATCTCTTGAAATTCCTCCTACATTTGCTGAATCTGCTGACTCAGGGCTTTCCCTCTGGTGCCACTAAATTCAAGCTTTCCCAGTTTGTGGAAGTCCAAGGTTGTGTTCAGAAGATCCTACAAGAACAATTCATAAAAGAATTAAAATAATAATGATAATTATGATGATAACAACAGCAGATAACACTCAGATTAGTATGGGAAGAGCTGGGAATCATGTGGGGGTGATGGTTGCTTAGGAAAATGTGAAGCCTGATAAGTTTTGTAACCTTATTATTAGATTGAGTGGTTATAAATAACTCCTGGTTAAACTCAGTCACAAAGCAGAGAGAAAGTACAGATAGATAAAATTCACACAAACAAAAAATCAGATTTATACCTGTTTCTTTTTTGTGTCCTCTTATAAATACTAAAATATAATAACATCATTTACGTAACTGGTGGCTTTACTACTGATTTTTTTAACTCTATTTAAAAAAGACCATTGTATCTGGTTTTAGAATGGCAGCTATCTTGAGGGATATTGAAAGGAAAGCGGATCTTTCCAATAGTTCTCAGCAAGAAAAGAAACCTGCGGGCTGCTCTTGCCAAGTACATGCAGTGTGATACGCCCCTCAGTCAGCTGGGTGACGGTGGGCAATTACTTGACGTCTCTGCATTGAGTTTCTTCACCTGGAAGGGGATAATGATAGTAAGAAGTGAGTAAGTCAGCGCAGGCTTAGAATTTAGACCAGCGCCTGGCACACAGTAAATACCCAGTAAGTGTGTATTACTATCCCTGCTATTGACATGCCAGTGTCCCGGCTGTGCTTAGAATAAAGTGAAGGTGGACAGTGCAACCCAAAGCCTTGGGGAGAAACCCTCCCAAGTCCACGGAAAGAGCTGATAGGGCAGCAGCCTCCAGAACACACTCCCATGACAGATTGTGTTTACATCTCACGTAGAAACCTCCAAACCAAGATGTTCTTCCCATTACAACTTCCAGCCTATGAGCATGCCTCTTCAATAGGAGAGAGGGAAATAAAAGTTACCTTTGCATGATTTTGGCAAACATGTGGCGGGGCCCCCTAGGAGAGGGTGTTTTACTCTGAGGAATTTTGAAGGGCAAGAAGGAGGAACACTGTGTCACAATGCTGAAAACCCCACAGGGTCCTGGGATATGCCCTCTGCCCACAGCCACTGCCAACAGGTGACCCCTTAGGCTTGCAGAGGGCTGCCCAGCTCCTTTCTCTTATGGGGACACCAACTTCAATAAAAGTGACAGAGGCACAGGGAAGTGGTAAGGAGTGGCTTCCCCAGGTTGGCAGGGGGCATGCAGGCAATCTTGGGAAGCCACCTGGCAATGCTTTTTAGCTCAGCTATGTTCAGGCATGGCTGTCAGCAAGTAGCTGAAGTGAGAGAGAAGAAAGAACCAGCCTAGCAAAGGAAGATATACACCCAAACTGGAGGCTCTTGCCACTGATGGTGGGAAATGGGTCAGTCTTTATTTAAAAACACGTTCAACTTTATATACTGGGAAGAAAGCTGAAATGAATTTTACTTAAGTGATATTGACTTAGGTAGTAATTAAGTCATTTAACAAGTGCTTAGTTGGGATCAGTGTTACAGGAGAAATGTATTTGTGCCTGCCATGGAATGTCACCTGGGTACCAATTTTTCATCATCCCATGGATGTCAATTTCAATTTTTAGGAAATATTCTCTAACCATTTTAATAGACAGATGATGCATCTTGATATGTTTGATTATATCAGATAACTAGACAATAATTTTGTTACACTATTTTTTTTTTCTCAGGAATACTTAAGTCATGGTTTTGGCTGGTCACTGGGAGGTGTTCCATCTCCAATCTAACAGATATATCATAGATATTAGAGAAATGTTTATTTAATCATTCTATTTTGGGAGAAACTCTATCACCAAAAAGAACACATATTTACATTACTTTATGTAACTTAACAAACACATAATGGGCAATACATTTACCTGAGGTTCAATTCAAGGTCTTAGACCTTTCCTTACTTCCCTATTAAATGAACCCCCCATCCTACTCCTTCTTTCCTCTGGACTCTCTGTGCCCTGTTGCCCTAAGCTTTCTCCAGAGCTCTTACCATGCTCTGGCATTATAATATATTATTTAGCCCCCTTCAGTCCCTGGAAGAGTCCTGGACACTGAAGAATTATTTGTGGAATGAATGAATATATGATCTTTGAACTCTAACAGCTACAGTAGTACCTCTAGGAGAAGGTGAACAGGTGGTAGAGAATCTAGGAACCATGATCTCAGGAGCAATTGGAGAAAACAGGAAAAACTAGACAAGAGGAGAGAATTCTAAACCAAGGCTGAACTGCGCCTTCAAATGCATTTGGCCAAAAGCTCAAGGTAGAACCTTGCGTGCTGCTCCTCTGAGGCAAAAACTAAGGCAAATGGGTGAACAGGACAAGGAATGAAGTTCGGGCTCAACTTGGAGGCTGAACTTACAAGATTTCTTGTAGTTTACCTACCATTTTGACCTACAAGAAATGACAATTTCATGTGGTTTTCCACTTAATAAAGACAGAACCATCCAATAACCAGAGATGTCCAACTGTAGAATGGGCTGCTAAGAGAGGTAGTAAGCTCTTAGTAAGCTCTCCTTATGAGGATGGATTTTAGTAGAAGTTTGACATCACAACTATTGTAGAGAAGATTTCAGAATCAGGCAGGAAACTGTCTTACAACTGCAGAAACAGATTCATCATAATGATGGTGACTGTATCTTTGTGTCTTAAAATATTTAAATGTTAAGTTCTTCTCATTTTTTATTTAGAAGTCCTCACAAGGAAGAAAAAGGCAATTTACACCAATAGGAGGTTTAAATGGTATTTTTTAAATATCCATTTTTATTCATCACAGTAGTAAACACATGAAATTTACCGTGATACATACAGGCTGAAAATGTCAACTTCAGGGGTATAGGCCTTGTGGAAGGTGCCCCAGATCAAGGGCTAAACGTCCCCGGGGTTTATATGACTTAAAGCCAGACGCTTACTTTTCCAACTTGTAGATGGGCTCAATTCCCAACTTGCCATGGGGTTACTGAGTTATATGCAGACTGCCTTAGTGTGACTTCAGTAAACAGTAGCCACCATAATTAACTATGTTTACCCTGATGTCATTGGATCTGGTGATGGATGAAAGGTGGATCATGGCTGATAAACAGGTGTGCATTTCCAGACAGATGCCACAAAGAACACAGGGTCCCAGGTGGCTGACCTGACCGAGCAGGTCCTATTCTTATGAAAAGCTGTACAACCTTTAGAGGGGGTGATGGGGGAAGGTTCCATTCATGTCATGGCCCGTGGGGCAGAGAATCAAAATTAGGAATAATGGTAAGTCCCACAAACACAAGCCCATTCTGGAAGGAGAGGCCATATCACAGCTTAAAAAAAATGTCTCCAGAATTCATTAAGGGAGATCACAAAGCTGACATTCATAGATGAAAATCTCAAAAGGTCATTGGGGAAAAGACTGTTGTCTTTACCTTTCGACAGAGGCCGACCTTATGCAGCTAATGGTCTCCTACGTGACCACACACTTAGGGCAGCCCGAAAGAGAAGCCATCCCAATTAGGCCCGGAATGAAAGGAAGCAGAGTGGCTGGAGATGGTGGAAAAAGCAAAGGAAAAAGCGGGGTATATTAGGTCATCCTATTACCTACCTATCTCCCTGCTAATCACCTCAGATAAAGCCTCAGCAGGAAATCATTTTGTCTCCAAGTGAATCACAGCTTTACAGCAATTTTATAATGAAAGAAATAAGGGTTCTCTCCAAGCTGCTTACTGCATTGTTTGGAGGGAGGAGGCTGCAGGCAGAAACATAAACAGGGGATCTGCGGCATCTACAATATTATGGCACAAAAATGAACTCTGTGTGGGTGTGTGATGTATGTATGTATCCAGGGGGTGGTGGTGGTGGTGGTATATGTGGTCTGTGTTTATGTATATGTTGTGGGGTATGTGTATGTGCAGCACATATGTGCACAGGTGGTGATCTGTGTGCACAGGTGTGGTATGTGTGTTCATAGGAGCTGTGCCTGGTGCATGTGTATGTGTGGCACGGTGTGTGAGGTATGTGTGAATGTGAGTGTGTGCTGGAGCATCAAGCCCGAAGCGTGAAGGAAGGATTCAAGAAGCAGCTGAATGACTCTTTTCCCCTAGATTTTTGACTATTCATTCAAATTACAAAGATTTTATATACTTTGGTGATTTCCTAAGTAAGTCATCAAGTCTAACAATGCCCTCTCATTAAATGGGAATGATAATTTAAGCCAAATGGTTTATTTAGGAAAAGAGATCCAGACATCATGTGGTAAAAATAGAGTGTGCAAAGGCAGAATGAACAAGGGCAGATGGAACCAGAGAACCAGCCTGGGACATTCACAGGGCAGGGGATGGATGAGGACCTTGAGAACTCCCTGGGAGACAGCTGAGTGAGGCGGGGAGACAATCCATGCAGCCGCAAGCCTCTGGGTACAAACTTAGCTACACCAACCTCAGCTGAGGAACTGTGGGCATGTTAATGTATGTGTCATTCTCAACTGCACTCATTTCTTAAAGTGCAGGTATCAATAATTCGATTTTTTGATGACCGTAACGATACAGGGGGGAGATGGGCTCTTGAAACATGTTAGTTGTTTTTTTCCCCATTCTTTCCCTTCCTCAAGGGTTGGCTCTGTAAGAAATGAGCTGTGTCATGGCTGGGATGCAGAGGAGGAGGATGGTATCCTGAGAACGCAGCAACTCCACACAGGGCAGACCTGCCGAGTGGCCCCCTCCCCACCCCACTTCCTTTTAGCAGGCACCCAGAGGGAAGAGGCAATGTGCAAAATAAAACTTTTTCGAATAAAAGAGCAAGAGCAAAAGAGAGAGAGAGAGAGAGAGAGAGAGAGGAAAAACAACACAAATCAGGGGGAAAAAAGGCCAAAAGAACTAAGGAGATGAAAACCAGCCCTTCACAACATAGCCCTGGACACAAACATGCAGAAGCATAAATGCATCCGTGTCATTTTATTAACTTGGCTTCGTGTATTTGTTAATTGCAGCTGCCCACATCTTGGCAGCCACATACTGGATGCGTTAGAACAGCAAGAGGTATGAATAAGTCTGGGTTCATCCTAATTCTTGCTGCACAGAAGCAGATTAATCCCATTTCAAACAGGCATTGATCACAGAGATACACAGAATGTTAACTAAAGGGCTGCATGAAATATGTTTGGGTAATCAATAGCCTGTGTCCACTGCGCTGGGCTGAGCAGGGAAGAGATGGGGAGCCAGGCGGCAGGGGGGGTGAGCTGGAACATGGGTTTGGGAGACGGACCATGAAAGACAGGAGGAAATAGCAGGATGGGGAAAGGAGCAGCCACAGGAAAAAGGAAAAGCATGGAAATTCAGGGTGAACCACAGAGGTAAGGGGAAACAAAACAAGAGAAAGAAAGCAAAGGAAACAAAGTAGAAGAGAAGGACGAGCCAAAAGCAGTAGAGAAAAGAAATGGTGGCATTTGGCCCAAGAGCAAGGAAATAAACCAGAGCAAAGGAGGGGAAACTCAGGAGAGGAAGGAGCAGAGCAACAGAGAGCATGGTGACATTCAAGTCATCCTCTGAGTAGACTGGGGCCACTGCTTTTTTACACATCCATGCCCTTGATTCAGAAAGAAACAGCAGCCTTTGAGACAGCTATTGTGAGGGTAATGACCCGGGGGAGACTGGGGGCTGGCGCTGCTTATATTTACAGAATATACCCAGCAGATTAGGGGCCCCCATGGTAGAAGAGCTGTCTATATGCAAAGTCACATCATTAGCACGTGTGCACAGGGTAAGGTGCTCTCTAGCCAACAGTCATTTAGGAGCTGTGCTCCCCTCCCCTCCCAGGGCGGCTGCCAGGCAAGGCCAGCAGCGCCTCCACTGTGGTGGCTGTAGGAGGACAGGCTGGAGGGGGAGGTTCTGCCCCGGGCTAGCCCTCGGTGGAGGGGTTGATGTAGGAGAGGAGAGGAATGGGGACGGGGAGGGGAGAGGCTGCGCAACACAAGCGAGTGGTGATGGAAACTGCTGCAGAAAAAGGAGGCATTTAGGATAAAGCTAGATATCAATTATTTACACTCGCCATGATCCGGAGAAGGGTTTAAGGTGAGCCTTTCTTAAGACCTAGCTTCCGGCTTCCTCACTTACACATTTTCTCTGCCTCCCTGCCTTTCCCCAGCATCTTTCTCTGGAGAATTCCTACTCCAGTTTCAAAACGTATTTCCTCTTGCCCTCCACACTTTCTCAGAGCCCCTCTCAGTCAGGGACCTCTTGTTTTTGCTCCCAATTCCTTGCACACCAGTTTCAGTTTCTATCATGGCATTCACTACACCTCAGTGAAGGTTCCTGTCTTTCCATCTTGGATCTCCTCCGTTCGTCTCTGTACCTTCTCCTGCTTTCTGGCTAAACCAGGCTTCTTACAGGCAAAACCAGGTTTCAGCCATCATTGTATCCCCAGCTCCTAGCCCTGTTCCTGGCAGTGCCAGCGCTAGACCAATGCTTCCTGAACTGAAACCAATACATTCAATCTCATACACCCTTATTCTCATAATCCCATTGTTTATGCCACTCCTTACAGCCTCTTCTCAACATGTCCCCTCTTTTTCATCCCAAATCTCTGATCACAGCTGAAACATGATTCTAATTTCTTCTTGGTCCCTGTGACTATTGTAGTAATCTTGAACTTGACCCCAAATTTCTCAAGTAAGTTTTAGGAAAACTATTATTTCATTTTATTATGTCCACTACCCTCCCTGCAGAGCTGTAAAGTAGGAAAAGACCAGCAAAGCATATTAATGTCTGAGGATGAAAACAATGAAAGGAAAAAGCCTCATGTTTTCTCACCATGCCCTTAAACTAAGGTTCATATTAACCTTTTAAAAATTGCAGGAAAGTCACAACTTTTAGCAAAAGTCCTGTTTCTTTTGCACCGGGATTCAGTCTTACAGTTTTCAGAGCCACCTTGAGGGTGAGAGTACAGCAGGAGAAGTTCGACACGGTGGCTGGGTGGGAATGGCCAGCTGCATGCACATCAGCTCACCTGCATTTTGCACATGGAATTCTGAGCAAGAGTTCATTTGAAACAAAGTTTGAAGATTATGGGTACATTGAAAAACAGCCTAATTAGTTGACTGATTCCTTGGGCCTTCTTCCTAAATGAATCTATGAACAGAATTTCCTAAGCTTCTAACAGAACCACCATTACATGAGGTCAGTCCAATGATCAACCCAGAGACTGACTGAATCTTATTCTGGGTTCCGCCAGCAGAGGGTCACCCCAGGTTGTGCTGGTCCTTTTCCTCTTTTGCCCTTTGACTCTGGATCACTCACTCCTGTATGGAGCTGGGAGCCTGATGTGCACGAGGACACTCACCTGCACCATGAGTAGTCGTCCCAGGAAGCCGTCCACATGCACAAAGACCAAAGCAGATGGGAAATCCCACTCCCTCACTTTCTGGTTCTCTTTAAAGTAAGTATGGAGATTCTCCCTTCGGTCCTGAAACACCTGCTTGAAGAAGTTCAAGGTGTCCACAACGACCTGCAGTTTCCTCTGACTTTCTTCCACCTCACTTCTCAAGAGGTCTTCTGGGCTGAGATAATTAGAGGCCTGGAATTTAAACAGATGAGTGTCACTATGCCAGCCGGCAGGTACGGGACATCCCATAGCTTTTCCCATCCCACAACTCAGAACCGAATGATTAGTGCAAGCAATATTTTTTGGAAACATAATACAGGAAGCACCTGATCCCGTCCTCAGTTCCAGAGGTGGACTGGGACCTGGGTTCAAGCCAGATTGCCAGTGATTGGCTCAGGGTGTATAAGTGGACAGAAGTAAGAAAACACAGCGAGACTTCTTTTGGGCCAGCTGGGGGGTGCAGGGAACAGTGTTCTTTCCCAAGGGTTCCTGATTTAATTGTTTTCTAGAGTAAAATAATTCAAGTGCAAGAATTCTTCGAACTATAATTTTTTCTCTGTCTCCAAGAGACTTGAACCTGGAATGCTGTGGAGCAACTTTAGACAGTCACCTTCCCCACCCCAGGGAGGGGCAGAAATAACTGGGTCCTGGTGGCATCATCTAAGGGCTAAAGCCAGTCTTACACATGAGCCAACAAATTACCATTCTGCTGAGGCTAGTTTTGGTTGGGTTTCCTTATATTTTCAACCAAAAGAGTCCTGGCTACTAAACATGCAGTCCTGGTCTAGGAGCTCAAGAACTGGCTTCTGGCCCTGGATTGGTTGACCTTTGGCAATTTGTTAAACGTAAGCCTTAGCCCACATTCTAAATCATACTAATAAATTCATAAGGCTCTCCCTGTGCAGGGTGCATCTGAAAGTGACCGAGATCATGAAAATGCCACTGTGTTTTGCAGCCTGCAATGTTCTCCATAGATGTGAGTTATTATTTGATACTTTTTATGTATGTTCATTGTTTTCTCAGGGTTACAGTTCTTTAGAGGTAAAAGAAGCCAGTTTTAGGGGCAGGTTGCTCAAGCCTCATTAAGGCTTCCTCATGGTTCATGTTGCCCTGCCGCTGCGACCAGAGTTCCTAAGATGGACGACCATGAAGTGTGTGACCCAAGAAGCTACTCCGTAGCTCACAGGCACTGAGTTCCCAGCAGTGCAGGGCTCAGGGTAAGCCTTGCTGTACATGATCTCCTTGGAGCCTCACAACCACGCAGCAGCCCTTTGAGATCAGTCCTCTTCACCCCTGCACAGAGCACGGAGTGAGGCACAGAGCAGGTAAGGAACGTGCCGGGGCACACCCAGCTGCCAAGTGGTGATACAGTATTTGGCACAGGAATGCCTGACTCCAGAGGGAACACTCCTAACTGCTGCTGACTTCACGCCAGACCATCGGCACAGGTGATTAAAGAGGTCAAAATTTGTCTCCTCCACCCCACCCTTCACTTTCCCCTAGGGCTTGCACAGAGAGGAAAGGAAAACTGGTCCTCCCAAGTATCCCAGCACTACGAGAACAGCTTTGGGAGTTATTGGCTGTGATGTAACATAATTCAAGTGTGAGAACCTTTGCACCATAATTCTCTGCCCTGAAAAAAGTGCACACTTTCCTCTTCCCTGAGATTCAGTGCACCAGCCCCCAGGGACAGGTTGTTCGGGATCCTGGGGCAGCCAACCTGCTGGATGAGAAGGTTGCAGGTGTGCTGGAGCAGCACCATGAGCCTCCCTGGGGAGTGGTAGGACTTGCACGTGGCCCAAATGAGACAGACCACGTGGAGGAGAGGCTGAAGCTGTGGCTTCACCTCGGGAAACTCCATGGTCTTGAGGGCCTCCAGGTGGTGGTGCAGTGGCCTCAGGTGCATGTGGATGTCCTGAGCCTCTGCCAGAGCTGGAAGGAATAGGAGATAGTCACCTTCCCTGCTGAGGCTCACAGCCACCATGTGTCATAGCCACTGAGGGTCTTAGCCACCAAGAGGAGTCCTGTGCCTGGGAAGTAAAGATCTGTAAAGCACTGGCTGCAATCTCTTCTTAAACTTTGAGAACAGAGAAGCCTGTTTCCTAAAATCTTCCTAGCTCTAAGGAGGAAATACTGATATCTGAAGACCCCTGGATAGTAAGGATAACTTTCTGAGGAGTCTTGCACAAAAATTCCTGTATCTGGACTTCTCCCTGGCCCTCCTGGCCCTGCTCTGGTGCTCTGTGTGTAGAACATACCTGGTGATTGCTAATTCCTGTACTGCTATCTCCGAGGAAACACAGAATAGGTGACAGAGGACAAGGTTTAGAATCAGAAAGATCTGCCTTCCTGTTGTATGATTTGGGCATATTTAAATTTAACTTCTCTGAATTTCAAAAATAGTCTGAACAGTAACAAATTAGAAAGTTCTTCTGAAGGTTTGAAGGTAGCATGGAGAGATTCTTCATACACAGCCATCACGGTGCCCAGACCAAAGCAGGTGTCCCGTAAATGGTAATGATGCTGATAAATACTTGCTAATGAGGAATCTCGTTGAGCTCATATGGAGATGTCACAGGGAACAGAGAAGTAGCCCAGCCTGACTGTGGCAAGGCTCCGCTTGTTTTCAAAGCTAGGAAAATCTCCTGCCATTTCCTTTGACCACAGCCACCAAAACACGCTCCTTTCACCAGTCATCTTGTGCCTGAGACCAGAAAGTAGGAAAACCCATAGCATCAGGTACTAATTCTGTATGGCCACTTAAAGGGTACTGAACAAAGCCCATTGAACAAACTGAGCCAGAACAGTGAGTTTATACAGGTTGGTTCATCCCTGGACAGATAATCAGGTACTGTCCTATGAGAGAAGACGTTCTTAGCTCATATTATATGGGTGAAGTTCTGCATTTATCCTAAAGGAAAGCTCAAAATATGTACGATTTAGTAAACAGTTGCAATATGCAGGCATTTTTCTACTCCCTAGGTGTGTACCATCTCATAGGAAGCCCTGTGAGGTAGCTTTATTATCCCCACTTTATAAGTGAAGATATTAAGGCTCAAATACCTTGCCCAGGGTCTGCCTCTGAATTGGCCAGCCCTGCCTAGCTGAGCAAAGTCAAGATTATCCCATGTATTTATCATGTTAAATCCCTCACTGGATGGTTGTGGTGCTCATGACACACAGTAGTTTGTGATATGTACATCTGTATTTTATATCCCAAGTAGAGCTGTGGGAAGCAGTATGTGAATTGGATTTTGAAAGTCAAATGTCACGGTAAATTGATTAAAGCAGTGATTCTTAAATGGGGAAGCTGATGTGAATATCAAAACAGCTGTGTGGGAATAGGCGCTACCAGAATCTAGCAGCCACTCTGGTGAGCACATGCCTGCTTGTACATGTGCTATAGGAAAAGGGGCTGAGACCACCAGGCCAGAGTAGCTTTCTCTTTATGATGCCTTCTGTAAGAAGCAAAATCTCCTGTAGCCAAACAAGCACTCCCCTAATTTTTAAGCGCACAAATGTTTGAGGACTGGCTTATCCAGTCCAGGGTGCAACGATCTTCAATCACAAGGTAGATGAAGAGATGAACAGAGTTAAGCACACACCTTTTAAAAATGCAAATATAAACTGCCTGTTATACAGTGATGTTTAGTGGTTTGCTGGTAAATCTTTAACAACAGGCTTTTCAGGGACAAAATCCTTCATTTGTAGCATTTGCCAATTTCTGTGGTGCAAATAATCCCAATCTTTCCACCGTGTCTGATTTCAAGCTACTAAACTGACTTCACTGAGTGTTGGGCAGAGGGGTTGAAAAGAGGTACATACAGCAGGCTCTCATGAGAAACTGCTAGCCAGTCCAGGCTGGCTCCAGCATACCACTGGACCTTGACTTCTCTTCTGCGTATCTGCCTACAAAGATCCTGGGTTGGCAACCAGGCTGTTCTAGGCAATCCTGCCCCTAGAAGCCAGAGACAGAACTCCCTAATTAGTCTTTATTGCCCTGTTTTCTCCCCTTCAGGATTCTGTTGCTTCCTGCTTTCCGAGGTTCTTCATGCAGACAATCTTTTTCCCACACTTTTTCCTATGTCATTTTAACCACCTTTTTTTTATGTATCACTGTATTCTAATCTGTGCCTGCTAATCCAGGAATATTTCTTCTCCTTTCCCCCTCTTCAGTCCATCAGTAGCCAAAGGACTGCCTGATTGAGACTAATAATGACAATGCACATGTAAATACATTTACTTAGGGTAAAGCAAGACAGATGCTCTGAAACTCAATTAGAAATGAGAAAATCCACCACCAGCCTCTAAAAGCTTTTTATTCTCAGGTGAACATACCAAAATTTCAGGCCAAGTCTACCTAACTCCTTTAATCAACATTTCTTTTCTTCCATCATTGGAAGTAAGCTATATATTTAAAGGATTTATAATTTTATAATAGTGTGTATCTGGTATTATTATAATGGTATTGTTTTTTTTCTAATTTCTTTTCATTGCCAGCATATCCTCTACTGTAAAAGAACCAAATTCTTTTATAACTATTAATCAATAAGAATGATTATAATCTATGGATCTATTAACGTGAAAAATATATCTAGGGCTCTAAAGAGCCAACTCATAAGTATACTTTTTACTTTTCTTACTACCTGTTATTTTATTTCAGAGCTCTAGATTTCA